TTTTTTTAAAAAAAAAAAAAAATTCAGTTCCCCTGGCCCGGTCCGCGGATGGCTTCGCTCCCCGTCGAGTTCTGCTGCAGGTCTTTTTGTTCCTGCGCCTGCGCCTGCCGGACGGCGGTTTCAGGGCCTTGCGGTGGAGAGCTGAGGCTGCTGCAAGGACTCGGGATGTCCGCTGCGGATGCCGGGCCGGGTTCCTGAATACTATAGTACTTGGTTTACGTGCATCTGCAGTCTCATTGTGGGTATGGTGATCGTGCGATTGTGCGATCGTGCTGGTTTCTGTCAGCTAGGGGATTGGCGGTGTGGGTTTTGGAGGACATCAGCGAAGATCCATGCCTGAATTTTACTTGGGCTTTTCTTTTGTAGATAATTCATGTCAGGCGCAGGGTGAATCAAATGTGCGATACCTTGTATGTCATTCATGACTAGGGGTTAAAGAAAGATAGAAATTAGCATGAGTTACTAGGGCGGAAGAAACGCCTCATCAGTGGGAAACTAAATGATCCAAATTACTACTGTACATCTCACGCGACGGCACACTTGAATATAAAAACTCCAGGTTGATAGGTGATGTCCACATCTGTCAAAGCATTCTCAGGCCAATTGAGTGCATACAAGAAATACTTGTACCTACTACAACCACGCGTTGCAGTAAATCATTCATGTATTTCAACATCCTATACAGTACTGTACAATACCCAGCAATCCATCCCAACTCACCAGACAATATTCGATATAGACAAAGTTTGCATAAACCAACAATATCCTCAACGAATGCGAATGTAACATCGCAAGCATGATCAAACGTAACGTAGCATGAACACACGACAAGATACCAAATACAGTTCATCTGGACCTGTTTCAGTTCATATCCCGAAACCAGGATTCTTGTCTACTGCCAAAAGGACTTCATTCCCGGGTGTAACGCAATCATTCTACACGGTTACCCCAGCAAAGTCGAAAGGACACGGTTGAGCAAAGGAGAGCGGCAATGACAGCCACTGGACGAGGCGAGCAGGGAATGCGAAGTAGCCCGAGGCGTTGGTCTGGACTCCCGAGTCGGCTATGATCGGACCCAAGGGATATAGGGTTGGGGTGAAAATGCTATCTGGTGCGCCACACGCAAGGGGGATCAAAACATCAGAGAGCTTGCGGAAAGTACGAGCTTTTACCCCACATTGTAGATCGCGATCTACGCTTAGGCAATGTTGTTACTGGAGGCCATTGGAAAGTGGTACAGAGCTCATTGGAAGTAGATTGTGTAAGATGGCTTGCGCCTTGTCCTAGACTTTCATCTGGGTCTTTTATAATTCTTGTTTGGATGAGAAAAGAAACATAGTGTGTCGGTTGACTAGCGGATTGTAAAGAGTGATAGCCATCGTCAACGTTTGACCATAGGAAATTTTCAGAGAGCGTGTGCGGTTTGATAGAGAGAATGACTGAAAAAAATCAAGGAAATATCACAGAGCGTGAGAGAGTCAATCAAGGAAATCAAAGAGCGAAAGCTCAAGAGCGGGAATCCAGATCCCATAGCCTCATCATCGTACTACATTAAATCATTCATCGCAGCAGTGGCATTAGTAGGAAATAGCTGCGGTCTCATGCTCAACATGTCGAGCTCATAAATCATCGAAAGGCACTATGGCACAATGCGATCGGGCGTTGTTCATCACCGACTTCCATGCGTTGGAGTCCGTAAAGCAGCTTCATAAGACATTATTTAGGGAACAGAACAAGCGAAGTTATCGTCATCGCCGGGAAGGTGAACGCGAAAGCGTTTCTGTATACACCAACGCCATCCAATCTTTTCCCCGCGGCTTCAAGCACAGAAAATAGGTATCGATATAAAAAAAATTGTTACATGGCCTTGCGTGGCCTAGGAGGTGGAATGTCCCCGTGGCACCCGAGGACGCGCAGCGACTCCCAAACACGTTTGTAGAGAGGTTGTCGTAAAGGTGTCAAACGCTGGAGGGCTTTCTCCGATCGCTCTTCGCGGCACAAGGTACGGATCTTATCGCCTTCACTTGATAGGGACGACTGGGGCGAATTAGACCGTGGCTTACGCCTCGACTTGGCTTGCATCGCCGCTGCTGTCGACCGATCGATGTCAAAGTTTGGACGCTCTTCTTTGCTGTTGCGCCGGGATCGAGGCGTCCGCGGAGGCACGAGGGACGTGGTCGATGGGGCCACAATACGCACCGTTTGGGGTACCGATGGGAACTTATCGGGAGACAAACGAGATTTCCCGATTGACCTCACCGGGGGTGGGCAACGATCTTCTGGGGGCTTATCCGGCGTCGTAGGGCATTTCTCTAGGGCTTGAGGGCTGTTGCTGGAGTTCTGTAACTTGGGGGCCGACTTGGCCACCCGTAGGTGTACGCGACTGCGGACCTTCTTCAATGTATCCATAGGCTTCCTCGACAGCGACTTCGGATCCACGTCTTCGCTGTCCGAGTCTGATTCCCACACCGAATGCTCACAGACCACTTCTGATGTGGATGTTGACGGCCTATCGCGAGCAAATGGGGCTGGCCTATCCATGGAAGGCGAATTGGAACCTGGACTGGGAACAGGGCTTGGACAGTCATTGGCCGGGATGAACATGGTTTCATCAAATCGAGTTGTGTGAGGCTCCATTGTGACGGGATTGATCCGGCAAGGAGGAGAGATCATACATGCCTCTATGGGAGGTTTCCCAATGGCTATTTGGGCTCTTCTGTTTGCTAAAGTGTTGGCGTTGCGCGCAACAGCGGGCAGAGATGGTAGTGGCTTTCCACGGTGGGAGTCGAGAGCGTCGGGCTGAGGCATGACTAAGGTGTCAGACGACGCGTTGGACGGCGCAGTCTGCAGGCTGGCTTCCTGAGGGGGTGTAGATGGTTGGCTGAGCTCCGCCGTTCGAGAACGGTTCCGGGGCGTCGAGGGATAGAAGAGTTTCTGGCTTCCAGATGTGGTATCTTTATGAGATTGACGGGCAGACTGCTCACTCGGTCTGACTGCGTCGTCGGGGTATATGGGAGCGGAGTAGTTCGAGGAGAAGGAGCTGCTTGGGGTCAAGTCTGGAGTAGCCTCCGTTTGCACTGATCCGAACGATCCTTGGCTATAATGGCTGGATTGGCCCCAAGGTTGTGGTGCAATTTGTTGAAGAGCTAGTTGATGCTCGAGTTCAACCACCGAGAGTGTTGACCGATTGATATTAGTACGGGACCTTGCAGTCTCCCCACGAACCGGGACAGGGAAAGGAAGCTCTTTTCCAGGATTCAGGGCGGATAGCATATAATACTGATTAGCTTCTTCACTGAATCTAACATCGCGAGCACCAGGCCGGTGAGCTCGCTGGGCTCCGTACTCCAGAGAGCGCTCGAGGTAGAATGGATTCGTTTCGTCTGTTGCCACAGGATCCCTTGGTGGATAAAATGATGAGGCCCGTTTCCTCTGCGGCGACGGTGGGGGCAAGCCAAAGCTCGTCTGGGAGCTCTTGCGGCCACGGCGGAAAGCATTCAATTCCCCGGGAAGAGGATGATATGCGGTAGCCATGGGGTGATATTGCAACAACCACGGAGCTGTTTAGTGTATGCTCAAGGATATAGAGCGTTCATCGGAAGAAAATAATACAGACGCTGAATACCTGTTCGCTGTCCAAGGGTAGCGAGACCTCTGGGGAGCCAGAGTATACGAAATGGCAAGGGCGAAGGGGTTGTGTTTATACATATCACAACGGATCCTCTTTTGGGTCTGGAGCCACCCGATGCGATGGATTGGTGGCTAGGTCGGGGAGAGGAGCCGCAGCATGCCAATGCACAATGGTGTAAACAAAGCTCAATCACCCGAAAGCACGGACGCCAAAAACCTATCGGACCTTACATGGTCCCCTTCCCTAGGGATAACGCTTGCAGTAAGGCGCGGGCAATCGAGGCTGGAGCAAGGGAGACACCCGGATCCCGATCCGCAACCTAGACTCGCAGGGTGTAAAAGCGAGCCACAGACCAACCATTCTTATGGACAATGTTCCCCGTTCGTGTTGTGAATTCAATTCTCAACCGGGACCAGGGCCTTCAGGCACCCATTCTCACGTACGTCATTGGATTGGCACTTTGGCAGCGACACAACCAGTGTATCACAGTTGCGGAAAGTGCAAGTAGTGCGCTGGCTAGATTCTAAACTCGATCAACTCCCGTCACGCTCCTTTCCTTTCCTAGATAGGTCTCCATCGTTATAATTAGTATCTGCATAGTTGAAGCCGGGATTAATTCGGCGCAAGAGAAAATTTGCCACTCGGCAGTCATCGAGGTCATAATAATTGGCAATGGATGGAGCGTTTCATCCACATACATCGCAAACCTACTCTAACGAGTAGATGTTGTTCGGTATTTGGGGCTCAGTCCCAACTACCTGGTAACAGAAGGCCGATGTTCCTGCAAATGTGAGTGATCACTTCCGCTTGGACAAAAGTCGACCGCGGAAGTCTTCCAGGATCTTCCACTAAGGCTCTATCAGGTTGTAGTGGCTGTCGATCATGTCGATCCGTCAACAGTATGCTTGGCAGCAAGGTGAGGACTGTCCAATCGTTAGCATGGTCCTTGAAATATGATTCTATAGTTCACTATCGAGAACGCCATAGCAGGTCAGGAAGGAAGCTTAAATGGCGGCGAAATCAAGCCACACTGTCACAGTTCCTCTCATGCTCTCTGGTCCTATTTTCCTCTTTTTGCAAAGTCATGGCCTCGAGGCTCTAAAGAATACACCAACAGGTGTTTGGGTCCGCATTCCAGCAGACCGTGCAGGTTGCTATGACACACTGTTGACCATTCTTCAAGATCCAAACTAGATGGCCACAGAGTTGAGACGCGACCTCTATTGGAACATCCAACTGTCGACTCCACCCTCGCAGCTTCTTGGTATAGTGGCTGATTTTCAGAGCCAACGTTTCTACAGGTTATTCTCCGAAGAGGTTGGCTTCATGCATTGGAACATCGTCTCGCAGATCCTTGCTGGCCAGTGTAGCCATGACCCAATGCCTCTATGCCAACTGACGCTCTGTCATGCGCTGCCCTTTTCTTCCTCTTCTTTTCTCCCTTCTCTCTGTTGCCCTCGCTGTGTTTGGCCTCCTGCATTTCCCCCTTAAACCCTTTCGTACATCAGGTTGAGTACAGCCGGCAACGCCGTCATTGAGATCCGGGAAATCACCAGAGCCTGTAAGCTAAAGTATATTCGCGTACTATTGGTGTTTATAGATGGGTCCATTTATTACTCATAAGCGTGTATTTCGATTTAACACCCTCACCAAGATTACCAAGCTGGCGATCGCGTGCATTGACTTTCTATATTAGGCCAGAAGCATGGTTGATTCAACTCGTATTGCTCATAGGGCCGGATCCTTCTGACCTGTCAATTCGCTGGGGTCTCCCCCGTGCGACGAGTAGTTTTCCCGGGTCCGCCGGATCGTGATGCATTTGAAAGTCTTTGGCTAGTGTATGGTGGGAT